GCCCCGGTCCGCCTGTCTGTCCACTCCACCGCCCGTCCCTCCTCTGCACCCGCTCGCCCCGGTCCGTCCCTCCGTCCGTCCGTCCGCGCACTCCCGCTCGCCCGGGCCGGCCTGTCCGTCCCCACCGCCCGTCCCTCCGTCCGCGCACTCCCGCTCGCCCGGTCCGTCCGTCCGTCCGTCCCTCCGTCCGCGCACTCCCGCTCGCCCCGGTCCGCCTGTCCGTCCCCACCGCCCGTCTCTCCGTCCGCGCACTCCCGCTCGCCCGGTCCGTCCGTCCCTCCGTCTGCACCCGCTCGCCCCGGTCCATCCATCCGTCCCTCCGTCCGCGCACTCCCGCTCGCCCGGGTCCGCCTGTCCGTCCCCACTGCCCGTCCCTCCGTCCGCACCGCGCTCACCCTCGCCCCCGCAGACCCGCCCGTCGTAACGCTCGCAGTTGACGTTGTCACACTCGCAGTAGCGCCCGAAGATCTTCTTGTTGGGCACGTCGCTCCTGTGGCACACGCACTGTCCGCAGAGGCAGTCCCCCAGCCCCGAGCAGAGGATGGAGTTGTTGTCCCGCCGGCAGCTGCCCTCCAGCTCCTGGCTGCTCCGGCCGTGCGTGTGGCACTCACAGCTCTTCCCGATGTAGCCGGCGTCACACCTGCAGGGGGAGCGGCGGGGCTCAGGGCCCGAGGGGCACGCGGGAGGCCCGCCCTCTCTCGGAGGCGCAGGCCCTTGGCCGAAACCCCTGCTGGCGCCCTGCTCACCTGCAGATGCCGCACTCCAGGAAGCCCTTGCCGCTGCAGAGGCTGCGGGCCTGCCTCTCGGCCCGGCAGTGGCACTCACACTGGGGGAGGACTTGCACGGCCACTGTGTCCGTGAAGCCCAGTGCCCGGATGAGGAAGGACTGCTCCCGGATGCACTCCGTGGCCGTGACCTTCACCTGGAAGGTAATCTGTCGTGGACAACAGCAGGGCTCAGGCGAGGCGGCGGCGTTGGGGCCACACCCTGTCCCATCTGCTCGCTCGCCTGTGGCCTGGACACAGGTTTGTCCAGGAGCCTGGCTGGGGGGGGGGGGCGCCTTTCTCGAGGGACCGAGGAGGGAGTGCAGGGAAGCGTGGGGAGGGGACGGCTGGAAGAACACAGAACACTCCGCATTAATCCAGGACTTGGGACTGGACGTGAAAAAGAGAGAAGGACGTCTGGAGCCGCAGAGTCAGAGGTGCAGGAACGTTGGGGCGGCAGACCCACCGGGGCCTTCCCAGCCCGTGCTGCTCCCCACACCCATCACCTCCTGGCTTGGCCTTAGGCTGGCGGGGTGTTTCTAGAACATTGTTAACATCCGTGCGTTAGAAATGAGACGTCGTGACTTGGGAAAGGACATGGATTTTCTCCTTATGCCTGGAATGCTGAGATGCCAGAATCCTGCAGGAGGCCCTAGATTCTGGTTATGGAGTGTGCTCTGACCCTCAGTAAAGGGTAGAAGATCACGCCCCAGGGGAACCGGGTGGGACAGAGCAGAGTCCCTGCCACCCACCTGCACCCCTGAAGTCAGCAGCTCAGAGCTTCGGGGAGCACTGACTTGTCAAAAGCAAGCCACATCCTAGCAACATTTAAATGAATTGCTACAGGGGACATTTAGGTAAAGCAGAAATATTAGGAAAAATGTGTAAGAAGCAATCAGCTCATCAGAAGATTGAATAAATTCCCGTGTGGGTTGCCCCCCGTGAGGGAAAGATAGTTCAGTAAAAATGCATATGCAACATTTAGTGACATAGTTGAGAGACTTCCAATGTCCTATTTAAAACCTCAGTAAGAGCTGAATATTAGTTCACAGCCAGAAAGAGGAAAAATTTAACTTTTACGGTCATAATAAAATCAAAATATTATAGAAATGACTCAGCGCCTATTTCTAATCATCCCTGTGGCCCATCCTTTAATATCTTTGTCAAAAAAACAAAATAGGAGGGCGCCTGGGTGGCTCAGATGGTTAAGCGTCTGCCTCCGGCTCAGGTCATGATCCCAGGGTCCTGGGATCGAGTCCCGCATCGGGCTCCCTGCTCCTTGGGAGCCTGCTTCTCCCTCTGCTTCTCTCTCTTCTCTCCCTCTGTCTCTCATGAATGGATAAATAAAATTTTTTTTTAAAAAAAACAACAAACAAAATAGGAGCGCCAGGCTGGTTCAGTCAGTAGAGCGTCTGAGTCTTGATCTCAGGGTCATGAGTTCAAGCCCCACATTGGGTGTGGAGCCCACTTAAAAATAAATAAATTAAATTAAACACTCAAAGAAAAACCCCCAAAAACCCAAAACACAAAAATCAGGAAACCAGACCAAAGCAAACCAGATGGGCAGAGGGTGGAAAGTACTCCCTTCTTCGTTGGGGACACGCTGCGCAGCACCTGCCCCCAGGGGGCGCTGCCGTCCCGCTCCGTCCACCCCTACACGGGGGGAGCCCGTGCGGAGCAGTGCGCTCAGCCTGACACCCCATCCTCTCCTTAGCGCGAGCGACACAGCTCTACACAAGCAGCGTCTGGCCGCCTTGGAAAGGAGCTGGATTGGCAGCAGACGCTGGCCCCTGTCCCTTGCTTGTCCCTGTGCTTGTCCCTGTGCTAGCGGTGGGCCTGGGTGCACCCCTAGCTGTCCCTGGGAGAGAACCTTCCGGAAGGTTGGGACGGGGTCTCACCGGGACGTTGATCTGGACGCCGTCGCAGTCCCCTCTGGGCTGGTCCACCTGTGATACCCCATTACTGCAGAAGGAGTCATAGGTGACTTTCAGGGTGCTGGGGACCGTGTTGTGGTCCAGAAAGACCCTGGAAGAGAGTTTCTGGGGGGGGGAAAGAGGGGCTGTGGTTTAGGGGTTCCTCCCACTGTCCCCAGGACCTTCCTGGCCAATGGCGCTGACGCCTCTTCATTGCTCATCCCTCCCTCCATCCAGGCGCCCATGGAGAGCTGGGGAGGCAGCATGCCCTGTACCCCCTGCAGGCAGTGGCCGGGCTACCAATGCCAAGGCCCCCGGGGGCCGGCGGGGACAGACCACGGCCACGAGGGCGGCGCCTGCCGGTCCCACCCACCACCATGTGCCCAGTGCCTGGCACGGGCTAGGAG